TCGTGTATTCACAAAATATATCAACAAAAATGTATGTAGGACTGCGTAGAGGAAACAGTGAGAAAGTCAGCTAGATGCCACTGCTTGCTCCCTGTATTTCGCCACAGTTCCTGCCCCCTCATACCACCAAATCGCTTGTTTGACATCTCTCCTCTTGGTGGAAGGTGAGGGTGGGGGGGCGGGGGAGCAAACCTTTGTACTGGTAATTGAATTTGGTGTGTTTCTCTTTTTTTCTGTACGAGCGAAAGGACACCAACCACAGCATAATTCCAAGTGAAAGAGCAGCACTTTAACATTGGTGGTCCCAAAAACTCTGCAAGGATCCATTTAACAGGCAGTTTATATTAGTAGCACTTAAAGACAAGAAGGGGTTCAGCCGCTCACATCCAGACTCTCAGGCTTGATACCCAATCCTCAGGACAAAGACAGACAGGAAGGCAGACTAGTACAGGATTTGGGAGAAATACACACCTCACAGCTTCATTTGGATTACCTATCTACTTACATGACTTACAAGTATGTTGTGTATGTAGACACACAATACTGGTCACAAAATGAACATTGTTTAATGAACACGGGGGTACCAGGAAGTAGAAGTGGGTTCTCACCTCACTTAGACCTCTGTTCCTGCAGAGGGCATTTGTAGGTTTTGATAAGTCAATCATTTTCCTGCCTCCAGTCGCAGGCTGAAGCAGTATTAATATGAGAAAGTGTTCACCCTGTCTGATCCCACCATCAAGCACGCTGAGAGAGTGGAGGAGTGGGGAGGAGGATGAGGGTTACGCAGGGAGTAGAAGATAGGAATGGCTGATTGGAGTTAGAGGAGATGATGGCTGAGTGCTGCAGAAGGGAGAGGGAAATTATATTTCGCCATTTAAAGGTATGCATTGATATGGCGGCAGTTTTTGATTTGAAAGCATGCACACCCAGTCATGATCCAAAGAAAGAGACACGCAAATATGTACGTTCATACGTGTGTGTTTAAAGCCGTTAGCTAATGTGCCCCCCCCTCCCCCCTTCCCCCAAACCTACTTTAAATGAAGTGGCTCAATATGATAATAAGAGGGGTGCGTCTGATCAGTAGCTGTTCCTGTGAGGATTCAGGTCACAGTTCGGATATTGCAATGCAATTTCTCACATTCCTACGCATGTAGTGCTTATGCAGCCGGTGTCTGTTAAATGGAATCATCACGCGTGTTTACCACTTTGTGTCAAATGTGCATGCAGTCGTTTTTAATCATGTTCTACTCATTTAAAAATTTGGTTTGACTCAGATACAGAAACTGACAAGTGCGACCTCGCCCAGCTGGAGTTTATACTTAGACAAACAAGAGCGTACGTGTTAAAATGTTCACTTTGTGCAGCACGGTATACGTGTTGCTGGCTGCCTTCAGCAGCTGATGGTGCAGAAAATTGTGGACAATGACCTTTGGGCTGAAAAGGCTTTAAGCAGCCTGTCAGAGCCACTTGAGCTCACTAAATTATCCCGAGCGTGGCTGTGGCTTTCCTGGCTGATATAATATGCTTTGCTTTGTCACATGTTCCTAAAGTGGGCGTAATCATGACTACAAATGCAGAACTCGGGAACATAAAATTCCATCTGATTTTAACACTCTGTCACAACATGCTGACATGTAAAATAATCACAGGCCAATAAGCGTACACATGTTCGTGACCACATAGCGACACATGCTTCCTCATTAACAACACGAACACAGGCGTCACACGTGAGTTTGTGTAGTGAATGCGTCTGTTGTGTGGAAGTAGTGAGGTGTTGACAGAGAAGAAAGAGGAGCGGTCTTCAAACACATCCACGGGCAGGTCGTGCTCTCCATTATGCCCTGCCGGGGGCCATATTTGTTGATTCTCTGGCCCCCAAATCATTAATTTAAGTGCAGACGACGGCGAAGAAACCTGAGAATGGCGTCCAACACACACGCACACATTCACGCACACAAGCATGTACATGCGCAGACACATTTTGGTCGCACTTGCATGCAAAGAGGTTTACATGTACACACACACACACCCTGTGTTGCATAACAAATGATGTCACTTTAATTGCTATGCATGTTTATTTACTCCTGGCTGTAATGGATGGTCCTTCTCTGCCTGGCAGCCAATCAGAGGGAGACAGGAAGAGTGTGAGCAGCCCTGCAGAACTGGACACATTCCACACAAGTTGACATTCCTCTTTATACACAACACACTAATGGTACTGATGGTACCGTTAAATGCTATATATTATTGCAGTTTTCGGGTCATTGCTCAGATCAAATCATCTCTATCGCAACATTTTCCCCAACTCTACCTGTGAACGTCTCCAACAAACAAAGTATTAAATTTCCATCACCATGCCCCCTTTGAGTGACTGATGATAACGTCTTCAGTGATTGGTAGTTATTTTGGGGCATGTTTGCTCAGCCAATGAGGCGCCCCCAGCCAGCTAGACATACATCATTGTTTCTGTTTTGTTTTTTGTTTTTTTTCACAACCTAACCCTCAGGAAAGAAGTGAGTTGTTGCTGACTGCTGTGCGGCCTGAATAACAGACACATTCCAATAGTTTTTTTTATTAATGAGCACTTGATGTTTGGGCTGCTTCCAGCTGCATTTAGAGCAGGGCTATTCAATTACAAACTTAACTGGGCCGGAATTTTAAACCAGAAAATGTCGATGGGCCACATTTTCAGCAGTGAGCAACCCATCCACTTTTTTAAGGGTGTACACACACACACACACACACACACACACATACACACATATACCTGCATCTCCCTTTTCCCCCCTCTCCTCCACACACCTCACCTCCTGACGTTTTCCTTTTAAGGTCAAATACACAGGATATAGTTTTATACAGTCTATAGCAGCAACAGTCATGTTTACAACAACAAAGTCACTATATAAAGTCAGAAATATCTCACTGAACACAAATCTAACATGTCAATAAAATAAATAATCCTCCTGACATCACAATACTGAGTGAATTTTGAACGACATGCTATACTATGACTTTTTTTATGCCATTTTGAATGACATGCTATACTATGACTTTTTTTATGCAATTTTGAACGACATGCCATACTATGACTTTTTAATGCAATTTTGAACGACATACTATACTGACTTTTTTATGCAATTTTGAACGACATGCTATACTATGACTTTTTTATGCCATTTTGAACGACATGCTATACTATGACTTTTTTTATGCAATTTTGAACGACATGCCATACTATGACTTTTTAATGCAATTTTGAACGACATACTATACTATGACTTTTTTATGCAATTTTGAACGACATACTATACTATGACTTTTTTATGCCATTTTCAACGACATGCTATACTATGACTTTTTAATGCAATTTTGAACGACATACTATACTATGACTTTTTTATGCCATTTTGAACGACATGCTATACTATGACTTTTTTATGCCATTTTGAACGACATACTATTCTATGACTTTTTAATGCAATTTTGAACGACATGCTATACTATGACGTTTTTATGCCATTTTGAACGACATGCTATACTATGACGTTTCTATGCAATTTTGAACGACATGCTATACTATGACTTTTTTATGCCATTTTGAACGACTTTCTATACTATGACTTTTTTATGCAGTTTTGAACGACATGCTATACTGTGACTTTTTTATGCAATTTTGAACAACATGCTATACTATGACTTTTTAATGCAATTTTGAATAACATGCTATACTATGCCCTTTTTATGCAATTTTGAATAACATGCTATACTATGCCTTTTTTATGCAATTTTGAACATGTTATACTATGACTTTGTTATGCAATTTTGAATGACATGCTATACCATGACTTTTTTATGCCATTTAGAACGACATGCTATACTATGACTTTTTTATGCAGTTTTGAACGACATGCTATACTATGACGTTTTTATGCAATTTTGAACGACATGCTATACTATGACTTTTTTATGCCATTTTGAACGACATGCTATACTATGACATTTCATGCAATTTTGAACGACATACTGTACTATGCCTTTTTTATGCAGTTTTGAACGGCATGCTATACTATGTCGTTTTTTATGCAATTTTGAACAACATGCTACAGTAAGCATGAAGAAAACAGGCATCAGGATCAGTCATTCATCCTGCTCTCTGTCCCCCCTCTACTGAGGAGACCTACTGTCTGCAGGTAATAATAGCTGTAAATGAGAGACCGGGGACAGAGCGGACATGCTGAACACATGTATTGATAAAGTATTGGCTTTGCTGGCAGAGGTTTTATTGCACTTACTCACAGTAACAAGCGTAGTTGTAGAGTACTACAGTAATCTTGAAGTTATATTCCCTTCATCTGCACCACGGCCTCTCTGCTGTTGTTTGACTTCACTCTGTTGTGTTTGTGTGTCTGTGTGTGTTTGTCTGTGTGTGTGTGTGTGTGTGTGTGTGTGTGTGTGCTGTGAGGAGGAGGTCAGCCCTGACATGCAGAGAACACGAGAGAGGCTGCAGCATGATGATACATGAAATTGAAACTTTTAAAAGTAACAATAAGAGCCGATTACGGCAGAGCTTATTATTATTATTGCGGCCTTGATTAAATTTGCCTCGGTCAGTTTAATACCCGGTCTCAGTACCAATCCCTGCCCGGGCCACCCAGAGGTTGCTTCTGGGTCGCATGTGACCCGCGGGCCGCTAATTCAATAGGCCTGATTTAGAGCATTCTTAAGGACCTCTGAAGGTTCGAGAAAGAAAATGGTCAACCTAAAGCTAAGGAAAAACTAAATATATACACTAGACCTGAGTGTCTTGAGTTCTCTCTGTCTATTACCAAGCAATGTTATCGTATGATGTAACCTTTAAGGAAAGTGAATTTCAAAACAATGTAAGATCATTGGCTAGATGATGCCTTTTTATATCCATGTGTGGATTTTAGCATTTGTTTTTCATTCTTTGTGGTTAACTTCTCATGCTAATTATTTTTTCTTAATGTTTCTTTCCACAGCTGCTTGTAGACCCAGGTACCAAGGGGTTCAAGAGCTTCAGCTGCAAGCAGGCACACTGAACCGGCCCATAACTCCCCACCATCCTGACCACCAGACATACATATAAACAGATAGACGCATACTCCAGGACCCAGGTATTGTGGACAAGCTCAGCGCTCAGCCGGTCAGGAATTGTTCATCTTCCCGATGAGCATCATCTTTCCCGACAAATGCAGTGGCCCACTGAGGGTGGGTTAATGTCCCTTAGAGGACCGTCAGTCATCAGTGTGGAGCTTCAAGATATTGGCAAGCGGTCCACTGCCTTCATTTCCCTAGCTGTTTTCAATAGACTGGGAGCTGGATTCACTTTACAGCACTGCAGTGCTACAGAGTTCTGGCTCCACATCAACCGACAATCACTCCACCACTGTCGACTACTGGTGCGGCTAAGCTGAGCCAGTGGAACCAGCCGTAAACCCATGCCAATCCCGGACTGGTTTATGATGGCATGAATGTGTTTACTTCTGCAGCTAAATATCAGACTTTTGTAAATATAACAACATGGACCTCAAAATCCACAATCCACAGAGACCTTCTCAATGTATCGTGCCAAAGGAGACAACCCTGTCTGCTGAAACAAATTACTGAAATGGGACTGAATCATTCGGACTACCCAGTGAACCGCCCCAGTTACTCATTTCTTTGACTGTCTCCCACTTCCTGCCTAGAGATCAACAAGAAAAAGACAAATTTGGGCTTAAAGATGCCCTGCAAAAAGTTTGAGCATCAGCTTACACCTTCTCTAAAAATCAGGACCCTTATTAACAGGAAAGGAAACCCGGCTGACCTCGAATCAGCCAGCTTACTGTAAGAACAGTCTGTTTATACATTTCTCCTTGTGTTCTTTTAGCCTGCTGTGCGTTTGTTTAATGAACCAATATCATGTTCTGTTAGCTTTTCTACATCCGAAACAGTTTTGAGTGCCACTCTTCTTTTTTTTTCTGAAGTTTTAACAGCTGTGTGTGACTTATTACGCTGACGAGCGATGTATTATTTTGTTGTCTCTTTGTTGATCCTGTGAATCTGAGTGGCGAATCTGTTTATAATGAAGTGACTTGCATCTTAAAGCACTGTGTCATTACTTTTTTCACTGTACTGGAGGCTGACGATAATGTACAGTATTGTGTTTTGATTCAACAGTATAACAGTGTTTCCATTTTGGCCCTGACCTAACATGTACAGTTTTTTGTACAGTGTGTGTGTGTGTGCATGTGTGTGTGGTTTCATGCTGCTCTCATGATTGTGATGACTGTGAAAGTTTTGGGGGGGGTAACGGTATTCACCCTTGACTGGTTCCACAATGTTTTGCAGTGGTCAGCTTGTCTCTGTTGTTTGAATAAAAGTTGTTTTCACAAGAACTGCAACATGTGTTTTATCAGGAAGACAATAATGTGAACATTGACATCGACAGTGTTATTGGTAAAATTAAGTGCAACAATGGGTATTTTCACAAGATTAGAGTTTCACCACCGCTAATGGCAACTACAACAATAGACTCTTGCACTGCCCAAGAAAGAATTCTCCCCAGTTTTCATGGTCTACCAATTCTCTCTTTCTCTCTCTACTCTCCCTCTCTCTCGTAAACTCAGCCAGATGTTGCCCAGTTTTCTTCCTAGGGGAACGCAGGGGGGGGGGGGGGGAGGAGGCAGGGAGGGGTAGTGAGGCATGGTGAGGGATCAGAAATGTGGCTGAGCATGTTTTAAGTGCTCTTTGACGCAGACGCAGCCTCCAGCATCCACCACGGTAACATTAGCTGGGAACAGAACTCTTGCAAGGTTTGCAGGCACTTCACACTCAATTCTGCCACAGGTATTCACGGTCACATGAAGAGTTACATTCCTGACGGAGATACACACTTCAAGAAAATTTTAATACTGATCTTTTTTATTACTGACACACTTGAGGAGTTAGAATTACGTTTTTCATTTACAATTCTGTTTTGCTTTTAAATGCATTGATACATTTATATTCTTCCTTCATTTAAATAAGGATTGAGGGTATGGATGGATTACTGAACGGGCCTACCGCAAATAGGCCTAGGGGCCCAAAGTGTCAGGGGGGGCCCCATTGGCCTTGTCCTGCAAAATGTCACTCAAATTAACACGTACCAACAAGGAAGAGACTCAAAATGACTGCAAAAACAGGCAAGAGAAACCCAGAGACACACACACACAAAAAAAAAAATTACACACAGACACAGAACCACAAAAAAGGAAAACAGCTACAAATATAACATTTGTTTAAAAAAGGAAGCAAAACTATGACTAAGACTGTGAGTCGTGCTCCTATGTAGGGAAGAAAATGTCACTCAAATCAACACATACCAACAAGGGAGAGACTCAGAATGACTGCAAAGGGACTGAAAACAGACACAAAATAACTACAAAAACAGGAAAGAAAAACCCAAAGAGATACAAAATAGAATAGAATAGTACTTTATTGTCGTTATACACGTACAACGAAATTAAGACGGGCATCTCTCTCTTGTACATAAAAACAGTATAAAAACAGACACAAAAACACCAATGGCTAATAAATAAATAGCAGTGGTTACTCGATAAATAAATAAATAGACACCAAATGCTGATAGATAGTCAGTAGATGTAAACATCAAGTCCAAGTCCTGGTACTGAGTGATAAAGTGCAGTGTGCCTGTGTGTATGAGAGTCAGTGCACGTTATTGTAGTGGGTGGGAGGTCAGGAGGATAGACACAAAATGACTACAAAGACACAACACGACTAAAGAAAGACACAAATTGACTTTAAAGAGACAAAAAAATGACCGCATAGAGACACAGAACCACAAAAAATGCACAATAGCTACAAATATAACACATACAATTTTTAAAAAAGGGGCAAAACTATGACTTAGTCTGTGAGTCACAAAATGAACACGTACCAACAAGGAAGAGACTCAGAATGACTGCAAAGGAGCTACAGAGAGACACAAAATAATGACAAAAACAGGTAAAAGAAACCCCAAAAGACACAAAATGACCACAAAACAGGTAAAAGAAACCCTCAAAGACACAAAATGACTACAAAAACAGCCAAGAGAAACCCAAAAAATCACAAAATGACTGCAAAGAGACACAAAATGACTACAAAAACAGGTAAAAGAAATCCAAGGAGACACAAAATGACTGCAGAGACACAAAATAACTACAAAAGCAGGCAAGAGAAACCCATAGAGACACAGAATGACTACCAAAACAGGTAAAAGAAACCAAAAGAGACACAAAATGACTACAAAAACAGGCAAGAGAAACCCAAAGAGCCTCAAAAGAACTGCAAAGAGACACAAAATAGCTTTAAAACAGGCAAGAGAAACCCAGAGATACAAAATAACTTTAAAAACAGGAAAGAGAAACCCAGAAACACAAAAGAACTGCAAAGAGACACAATAGAACTTTAAAAGAGAAACCCAAAGAGACACAAAAGAACTACAAACTACAAAAATGCACAACAGCTACAAATATAACAGATACAATTTTTTAAAAAGGTAGCACAACTTTGACTATGTGAGCTGTGCTCCGATGTAGGAAAAAAATGTCACTCAAATGAACACATACCAACAGGCTGCAAAAGAACTGCAAAAATACACAACATGACTAAAAAAGGACTTAAGAGAGACAGAACCACAAAAAATGCACAACGGCTACAAAGGTACTAAGATAACAGGAACAGTTTCAAAGAAGAGGCAAAACCATCACTAAGTCTGTGAGATGGAGGAGAGGCAGTGGGATGTGCTGCATATCAGTGCCCAGGGGCCTATTTGTCTCCTAACCTGCCCATGGTTTAGGGACTCAAAGTGATTTTAAATGAGTCCACAGATGAACAGCATAAGGCTGACTAAGACTACAAGATCAGAATCATAAATATGTCTGAATGAATTTCTGTCCCCCTCTCTTTCTCCTCCCTCACCTGAGGCAAGTCCTTATTTGGGCATACAGCCAGATATCCAGGTGACTGCCCCCTTCCATTTAATTTAGCATTGTTTTACTCCTTTTACCGACTGTTATTCTATCTCTATTTCCTCAATCCACGTGAAATTCTGCCCAGCGCAATTGAAAAAAACACGGCTTTCACCCTTGAGTGGCTTCGGCGTGCACACGGTGAGAAATCCACAGTGACACACGTGAAGCTATTAAACACTTTGCCCTCTGACACTCATCATCGGGTCGGTTGAAAAATATCGAACTGTAAGCCGGGCGGATTCCTGCTGCATGTTTTGAGATAATGTACCATAAAATAATAATTACCGTAATGACCGTAATGCTCACAGGCCTTCAGGTGATGAGAGCAGCCTGTATAAGCACACGATACGGACCTGCTTGTCTTGATTTTACTGAGTGGTAACTCGATCTGCTGCCAGTGAAAATCCTAACTCTGCTCTGGTATGGATAGGGTAATAGCCCCGGGTGCTTTATAAGTTTATTTTAGGTAATAGAGACGCTTGTTTTGTTACAGCCTGTTCCGCCCTCCTCTCCCTCTCTCTCGCTCTCCCTCCACAATTTCACCTACACTCAAATTCCTTGCTCCTTGAAAGTTGGTGACTGGAAGGAGAAAAAAGGGATTTGAGGAGTAACGCGACGCGCATGCGCCATCTGAAGGTTTTGCGCTGCGCATCCATGCTGCAGTGTGCTAGTTTGTGAGAGGAGGCGACTGAAGCAGGTGAGAGGGAGAGAGAAAGAAAAAGGGCAGAGAGAGGGAGGGATAGTCGGTGATACTTTTCTGCACTTCAACACACACAGGCACACACATTCGGTGTGGGAGGACGACAGACTCGGAGCCTGAGCAAAAGCCGCTGTTGTTCACACGCTGTGCTCTTTTCCTCCCCCTGGCACCGTGCGCGCTCGCCAAGCCGCACTGTTTGGAGATAGTCCGCGCGGAAAGTTTTTTGGAGCATACTGTCTGGAGCCGATTAATTGTGGCATCTGTTTGGTTTTTTTTCTTCTTTTTCTGCGAGGCGGATGACTTACTTTTTTGCATGTGAGGACTTTTAAGTCGAGCTGAGGAATTGTCAAAGTGGTGTTTTGCACAGAATGGAAGGTAAATTGACAAGTCGTTTGTGGCGAGGATCACCGTGTGGATCTTTCTGCAGGTAAAACGCGCTATGACCTGAGCGTGTGAGCGGCTGGATTTAACGCACAGAAAACAAGGTTGTCCATGTTTTTGCTTTGACATAGTCTAGCTATAATCTGGGACAGTTTTTTACTTGGATAGGGACTATAAAAGTAGGCCGCTTTCAATTAGAAGAGAATCGACAATCCGACGTTTCCGCCAGTTGACACTTTGGGCTGCCGTAGATGGTTTTATTTGTTAATTCTTACCGCAAAGTCACGCACTGATTCGTTAAAGTAACTGATCATATCCTTACACTGTCTTTGGACATTTTATACATCCCGCTGCTTCCTACGAGCCCTCTAAACTGTTTGGCGCACGGAGCGCATTCACTGATTTTTCACCAAAATACCAAACCTGAAGAACTCTGAGCTTTTTAGCGTCTCCTCTGTCCTCAAACCCCAGCCAAGCACTTACCAAGAAATCCGGATAAAACGACGAGACTTGTCTTCACCGCAGAGGAAAGGGAAATCTTAAATCCACCTGGCCTGCTGAAGGATTATTGGTTTGATATCGTCTGCAGAAAGTGGATTACAACTTCTAACGGGCTGTGCTCCCTGGTGAGTAACCTCCAGGTCTCCTGGTTCACTCACTTTTCCACGCAGCCGCAGTTTATCTTAAAGAGTGGAAAAATGCGTGTTTCAGTGGGACCTCTCTGGACTAGTGCTTGGATGTGCACAAAAGTTCTTGACAGATGTGATGTGTGAAACATGCTTTCCCCCTCACTGCAGTGACTGTGACCTATATGCCAGGATCCTCTTGGATAAATTATGAATTCAGCCAAAAAATCACCATAAATTATTTGTGTGAAAATGCATAGAAATAGCCTGCTTTCTGTTTCCATTGTTAACGGTCCCTATTAACAGCCAGGCAACTTTCTTTGTGCTGCTTCTCCTCGTCAAATCCTTGTACCTGGCTCCCTCTCCTGGTTTTTTTAAACAACAGGACACACAAGGAAAGAGTGGCATCATTTTTGCGCAATTAAATGCGGGTAATATTTCACTCATTAGTCAGTAAATTACAGTGCCATGCAGCTTGGGAAAAGGGGACATTTGTTTTATTAAATTGCACTATGAATTACATTTTTCCTTCACAGCTATACCCCCCAAAAAAAGCTGAATTCATTGTCACCATGCATTTTAACCAGAGGCTTAAAGATGCAGGCTATACTGTGAATAAAGTGGTTTAAAAATATCATTAAAAGTTGTCATAATTGACACCCCTAATGATTTCCCCTCCACATTTCCACAATACCTTGTTGCTAAGATTATTCCAATTTAATTATATTTGATTGCAATAATACTCTAGATGGCCAAATGTCCCAGCCAGAGAAAACCAAAACTGAAAAAAAGACTCAGGCATACATCTGAGCAAAAGGTGAAATAATTCAAGAAGGTTTTTCCTTATTAAAAAATTAGCTTTTTCTTTCTCTAACTCTCATGTTTAATGTAAATCGGTTGAGTCCCATATGGGCCTTAAAAAAGCCTCTGAAATGATTCATTGCAGCAGCAGCGACCGATGTTTTATCATCCTGACGACGGTATTCTAATTGCTCTTTTCCTGAAATTTGCCCAATTTGATGCCATTTTTACCGACAGAAATCTGCGAGGTAGTCGTCAATCACCCACTGAAGTCCCACTGAATATTTCACTCGGGTCAAATCGTTTGCAGGGGTCACGGAGCGCAGGATTAGCGAGGATGCCAAGTGCAGGAATGTATAGCCTATTTGAGTTTTAAAAACCAATAATGAAGTTATATGTGGCGTTGAATAGCTGCAGCTCCGACTTCACAAATTACTTAATGTTAATTAAAAAAAAATAAAAGCCTCTTGTCGTTGTCTCTTACAACGAATAATACTGTTCTCCACTCTGATTGGCTGAGAGTCTGTTGTGAAATGTCAGATAATTGCAGGCACCTGTGGCTCCGTGACAGTAAATTTAAATCTGACTGTGCAGAATGCAAGATGTGTGTCACCCCAGCTGCTGATGAACTCTACTGCTTGGCGCAAAAACATATTTAATTGCAGAATGTAATTATGCGTAAATTAAAATCCATATTTCAAACCCGCCTCCTGGCGCGCAGAGCAGCTCCAATTAGCTGCTTTAAAATCAGTGTAAACCCGCCGCCCTGTGCGGATTATTGCTTTAATTTATGTGGAAGAACTGCGAGGAACATAACATAACCTCTCCAACTATTACTGCAGCAGCACTCAAACTGAAAGCACATGCTGGCATGTGTGCGTGCGTGCGCGCGCGCGCGTGCTGGGTGAGTGATGGTGAACTTGGCCTTGTGTTTAATGAGTATTAGGCAGGGCCCAGGTCTCCACGACTCAACCCTGGAAAATAACGCAGCGTGACAAATTAGAGCTGCTCTGAGTCCCAAAATTCACACACGGCCCAACTGGAAGGCTGGCACATCGGTTAAACTCGCAAACGCAGGGATAATTATTTTAACTTATTTTCTGCCTACATAGCAGCCAAACTATATCAACAAAGACACGCCGTTGCCTGCAGATAATTGACTTTTTATTTTTTCCTTTTTAATTCCTTGTAGTTTTTGTTAGGCAAAAAGGCTGCACAGTATAACCAGGCCAAGGCCATCATCCGCTGACGTGGCTTCTCTCTGTCCGATCCACGGTCAATTAATAAATATGAAAATTAATTTCCATATAATTATAAACCGGCTATTTGTCAAATTAATTATTTAACAGCTAAATGTATCACAGCTCCAGAGGAAAAAACGATTTAAAAATCAAATCTTTTTCCACGTTTTGTGTTAATATTCCTGACAAATCTCATTAAAATGTTTTTTAATTAACAAATACATTTTATTATTATTTTCAAGGGATTTTTCCTAAGTACAAAACTGAGCAAAATGAAACCTTGTCACCAGGAGCAAATTCACTCAGGCCTGCCACAGACTGAAAATGAACCAGTGTAGATAAAAAAATGTATATATTTTTAAAGTAAAAATGCGATCATAATCCTTGGTTAAAATTAAAGCATTTTTAGTTTTTAGTAAATATGTAGGCACAAATGGATTTAAAATGAGGCGCACACACTGTCAGTCTGTCTGATGAGGCCTGTCTCTCTCTCTCTCTGTCTGTCCATCTGTCTGTCTGTGTCGTCATGTGTCTCCTTCTGACTAAAGTAAACCGTCAGGAATGTGTCTAGCTGGAGTTTCATGGTCATTGTGTCTTCCCCGGCTGCACGTCTATCAGTCTTATGTGAATCACACTCAGACCTGCTGCCAAATGACTGCTCTGCTGTGCTGATGGCCTCGGGGCTCTCATCACACACACACACACACACACACACACACACACACACACACACATACACGCACACAAGCACGGTGCTGTCTGCATGCAAAAAGGAGAGTTTAGATATGCAGGCAGCTGAAAGAATTCTTCCTGCATTCCCTTCATACATTTTGACATCACAGCTATCAGTCTTTCTCTGTGTTACGCACAATAAAAGTTGTGTCAGGCAAACATCCAGACAGACAGACAGGCAGACTGACAAGCATCCTTTTTCCTCTCTCCTCCCACAGATCGTCGGCAGTATGAACCTGGGGTTGGGATGTGTGCGTCGGCCGGTTTGCTGGCCGTTTGGCAGCCTGTTGGACTCCAGACACTGTGTCTTTGCCCTCACGCTCCTCACACTCCTCATGCAGGTGGTGGTGGGGGCCAACTCATGGTGGTATGCATTCATTTTCCCTCCACACGAGTGTGTCTTAAATGTGTGTGCGGTGCGTTTACTGGTGTTATGGTCAGCGGAGATTGTCAGCTTTCAAAAAGAATTTTTTTTTCCTCTTTACACTCATAGATGAGTCACATTTGTGAGTGGAGCAGCAGAGTTTTAAAAAAAGACATTAAAAAAGCCACAGATTAAGGGTAATATTGATTTTTTTTTTGTTAGTGTTTATATTTGTCTTTTACTTAGTTTCAGAGTCAATTTCAGGCCTGTGTGTGAGAGTGTGTGTGCGTGTTTGCTCAGTAAGCCTCCTCAGCTTCAGTTGCACCACATATGAAGTAACACAACATGCTGACTGTAGCACATTAGCTTTTCAGGAAGGACCTTTTTTCTCCCTTATTTTCTTTCTTCGCATATTGCCAAACCAAAATTATGAATATTATAGAAAACATAGAATGCTGTGGTTTATGAGTTGGCGTCCAAATATGTGCAAACATGAACACCGTGTGTGACTCTGTGTGTGTGTGTGTGTGTGTGTGCGTGCGTGTGCGTGCGTGCAGACACACATCCTGCTGCTATTAGAAAAGTCTATATTTGAGCATGCTGCACTTAAACACACAGAGTGCTCCTGATAGGGGGAAAATACTGTTTACGAGTCACCGTAGAGGCACTACTTAAAGCAAATCACAACTCTTTACATCCTGTGGCTGTTTCTGTGTTTTTGTCTAATTGTGCACTTGTGTATAATTGTGTATCCCAACATAAGTGCTTGTAGAAGAACATGGGGCATTTACAGTAAACCGACACTTTGTGTGTAAGATTTTTCCTTGGTTCAAATGAGCAGATCAAAGCCAGTGGTGACATCAAGCGGTGATGGCCTAATTATATGAAAATAACAATTTAAACATTTAAACTGAAGAGGATATCTACAGATAAACATTTTAATGGGCTCAGCTCAGTAGGCGACTACGTTTAAGTTTAAATAATGAGTTGAATTTACCAGCTGAGGGCTCGCACATTTACCAGAGACCCTATGGAAGCTGAGTTCGGGGCCCAAACTGTGTGTGTCTTCCAGTTTCCTATTTGAGAGGACACACAGGTGTGAATGATTTAGAGTGTCGAAGCGGTGGGCCTGCTGACTGCGAGTGTGTGTGTGTGAGAGACACTGCGTCAGCCTGCATGTCTGTGTATGTTAATTTTTTTTCTTTCCATGTGTTTATGTGTGTATGTATATGTTGTGTGTATTCAGTCTGCGCTCCCTCGCTGCCGACTTCCCCCAGTCGATCAGGTTACACTGGGGGCTAATTGTCTTTCTCTTAGGGCTCAGGGATGGGCTGCTCTAATTGTCCTGTGGCCTGGAACCAGATGCTCATACTAGTGTTCCTCTCTCTCTCTCTGTCTCTACTTCTCTCTCTTCTAATTCTAATTTTACTTATTTTTTTCTCTCTCTTACACAACATTGAACGAAACTGCTAAATGAAATGATCAGATTTTTCCTATGTGATACTGTGAAAAAAGGTATGCAAGTTTCACTGCGAGTTATCCACATGGTGCGCTGAGTTGGTGCGAGGAACCATGAAATGCACTTAAGCGTAAAAGTCAAAAACTTATTTTTTTTTTAAATTGGCGTAGTGTGTTTTTAGTTATTTAAATGCTATGCTTTAAAGCAGTGCCTCCAAACCTGGGGCTGGGACTCAGGACCACTCCGAGGGGTCACAAGATAAAGCTGAGGGATTTGCTCGCTTTTAAACAGCGTAATAAAGCAAAAACACATTTATGAACACAAATTAAATAAGGTTTATTTTCAAAATGAAACCAACAGAGTGGGGGGGGCATCATTCTTAGATATAATATGCAACCTGTGATGAGGGGTCACAAACAGACACTGCTCAGGTTTTAAAGAATTACAAGTAAAAAAAGTGGCAATCTCTGTTTTAAGACACTAAACACATAAAAACCAGCATGTTAGTGTCAGATTTGCTCTTTGTTTTGTCCTTTTTATTTTATGCACTCTTTATTTTACTCTATCTTCTCCTTTGACTTTAAATTTTCCTCATCATTCTCTCCCTGACTCCCCTCTGTTGTATGTTTTTTGGCCCGAAACAGCACACGACTTGTAGTCAAGTGTCTTTAAGAGACCTCATTCCACTAATTATCACAGCTTCACCCATGAGAGGGAAAAACAAATCAAGTGAAATGAGCTGTTGATTTTTAATTTGACCTGAAAACATTCATACATTTGTGTCATAATGCCAAATGAGTAAAAACAACTGCACTATGTGCCCCCCCCCCCCCCCCCCCCCCCCCCCCCCCCCCCCCCCCCCCCCCCCCCCCCCCCCCCCCCCNCCCCCCCCCCCCCCCCCCCGTCCAGGTCTCTGGCCATGAACCCTTTACTGATCCCAGAGGCGTACATCATCGGTGCCCAGCCTCTGTGCAGCCAGCTGGTGGGCCTGTCGCCGGGCCAGAAGAAGCTGTGCCAGCTTTACCAGGACCACATGCAGTACATCGGTGAAGGTGCCAAGACCGGCATCAGAGAGTGCCAGTACCAGTTCAGACATCGGCGCTGGAACTGCAGCACGGTGGACAACTCCTCTGTTTTCGGAAGGGTCATGCAAATCGGTAAGAAATGTGGCAAAGGATGTATTTTTTATTTTTTTCACAGTATATTCTTAGAAACATTTACATGAACACACAGGAGTTGTGTGTTCATAAATACCAACGTGTACACTGTGCATATTCGCCGCTGCTGTGTCTCTCCTTTCTTCATTCTCCCTCTCTCTGATTCACTGACCCTCTTTGTGTGTTTGTGAAAGTGTGTGTGTGTGTGTGTGAAATGTATGGGGCTGTTGATTCTCAGCAGCTGTGTGGAGGGAATAGTTGGTGGGTGAGGTTGCTGGATAAATCACATGTGGCTTTGGCCTGCTAAACCAGCTCCCGACATGGAGCAGGAGGGAGGCAGAGAATCTGCTTTTCCCCTGATGAATGGGAGACAATCTAATCTAGTTTTACACACACACACACACACACACACACACACACACACACACACACGCACACGCACACACACGCACACACACTGTGGAGCTGGACTGTAGCTGCCCTGTATTTACAAGTAATGGGAGTGGAGTGAGTGTATGCACCAATATATCACCTTGTCAGAGATTAAACTGTCTGTCTCTGTGTGTGTATGTGTGTGTGCACGTACACGCCGCATGCTCGGATCTCTTATAGAAAGTTCAAGAGCTTTACAATCCTCTCTTAGTGATCCCCACTCTTGGATCCTATCATTTAACATGGTTTGTTTTAGTTTTCTTTGGATGGGAGCCCTCACCTCAGGGGCTAATGTAAAGGTGGTTTACCGTTTATTGATCATAACTCTCAAGCTGAATTACAATGAATCTGCGTGATGTCGGTGTTGTGATCGCAGCAGAGTTACAGCAGGCTTAACGGAATTGAGGCAAATGTCAGCGCTTGTGTTGCTTACATTTTGGAAATCTTTCAAATTCCTCTAAAGTAACGCATGCAGACGGGTTGGCATTTTGTTCACGTTGGCACTCTTTAAAGGGTCAGTTCGCCCAAAATTCTTTAAAAGAAAAAACAAGAAACACATTTCTCACTTATGCACGCATTTGTCTACATTATGAGAGATCCATTTCTGTGATTTTTGCTCTCACTCTGATGCAATTAATGGAATAAATAGTGGATGGAATTTCGTTTGTGGTGTTCACAGCTATAAAAATAACCTTTTAATGCGCTCAACAGCAACTTGCGTTTCCAGTAATAATGTTCCCATTACTCTGGATGATCCACAGAACACACTGTCAACAGTTTTCTCGACGACTATTTTTAGTTAGAAAGTAGTTCCACCAAAAATGGATCATACAGAGGTTTGCAGATGATCCTGAGTAACCAGGGCAGTGTTTTCGGAAAGCAAATATTTTAAATGTAATGTTGTGAGCACCAAAAACTAAATTTTTCTTTTTTTGTATTTAGTTTTTAACAGTATTTTTTTTTTTAAATTTGGGTGAACCAGCCCTTTAATTCGCTGTACTTGCGAGCATACCCTGCATAATGCATGCGTCTGTGTTTTTACGCTACTCTTGGTGATTCTGCCTGTCTCTGTCTCTGTCTCTGGCGCTGCTGACTCCCTCTCCACAGATCAGTCTTCATAGAAACCTCATCAGCAGCCGTTCTCCCATTCCTCTTCTCCCTCCCCAACATTGCTCCCATCTCAGCCCACTCCGGGCCAAGTAAACATGTCCTCCCCTCTCAGGCTGTCTATCTGAAAGCTTGTCTTTCTGTCCGTCCGTCTGCTGGCGGAGGACACTGCTGGTGATTTAAAGCTGAGCTCCAGGGGGTGCTGGCGTGGTTGCGTTCAGACCCTCTCCCCTGCCTGGCTTGGCTCGCTGCAGGGTGGGGTACAGGAGAAGGGAGGCAGCAGTGTGGGAGATGACAGTTTGTCTGTCCACAGGTCCACTATTAGGCCAATATCCTTGGGCTGGATTAAAACTTGTATTAGACTAATAAATCCTCCGCTCTCTCTGATCACCTGTGCTCCTGCCAGAGTTTCCCACCGGAACACTTTCCAAAACGCTTTCTTTGTTCATCTTTTTTTCTTTTCGCCTTTTGTGATATTAGCTGCATGCGTGTCTCCTTTTCCACTTTGCTTGCTTTTTTTTCTTGAATGTCTTTTTCTTGACTTATCTCTTTAGTCGTATTTTCTTTCTCCTCCCTCATCTCCCGCTCTCTGTCCATCTGTTATTGTCATTATAGCACGCTCTCTAAAGGTTTGGCCCAGCAGGTATATGAGCTGTGCATTTTTATTTTGTAGCAGCCCCTGTCTTTAGTGTCAACACGCAGCCTCGTAGTTTGGTCGGCTGTTTCTTCTTTAAGTCGCTTATCTCCTCATCTCGATTTTCTCCCCTAGTCCATGGCTTTGCACAGAGGTAGTAATGGATTGGTGAGAGCAAAAAAAAACTGCTTATGTGTATTTTTTTTTTTTTTTTGAACTCCCTACCTCTTGTCTCTATTGAGGAAATGTTGAGGGAGTTAATGAGCAATGGCTCCAGGAGCAGTCAGACATGACAGATAAAGCAAAAGAACTGATGTCACTTTGAATTTGGGTGAAATGGCCGCTTCTTGTTAAGGAGCATCCCTGTCACTGGAGGGCGCTCTCTCTCTCTGGCTGAAGCCCAATAACAGCAAACCAGATTCCACCGTTCAACATGTTGGTGATGAGGAGCCTGCAGCACTTGGCTGAAGTGCACTGTAATCTTAAATGTATGGTCAATGCTGTCATATGACATGACATTTCCTAACACTGCACTAAGTCTTAAAGCAGAATGACAGTGACACACTGAATATAAAATAAATATACAACCAAGAAGGGAAGCGGCGAACGGTTGTGCCAAATGATAAATGTTCCTCATTTACTCTCTTTCTCATTGTGTCAAATGTGACATGATGTTCCTGTTTGTGTGTCTGCAGGCAGCAGAGAAACAGCATTCACTTATGCCATCAGCGCAGCTGGGGTGGTGAATGCGGTGAGCCGTGCCTGCAGAGAGGGGGAGCTCTCCAGCTGTGGGTGCAGCCGTGCGGCTCGCCCCAAAGACCTGCCGCGAGACTGGCTGTGGGGCGGCTGCGGAGACAACCTCAACTACGGCTACAGGTTCTCCAAGGAGTTCGTGGACGCACGCGAGAGGGAAAAGAGCTACGCCAAAGGCACATATGAGAGCGCCAGGCTGCTGATGAATCTTCACAATAACGAGGCTGGAAGGAGGGTAAGTCACCGGAGTTATACGCGCACACAGATCTTAAGATGTCATCAGATAAGAGGGAAGCAGGGGGATATAAACTGCAGGGCCTAGAATGAGACCAACCAGTGATAGAAAGAGCAGGAGGAGTTGGAAGTGAGACAATCCAGGTCAATCAGATAGGTCTCCGCTGATCATCTGTGTAACAGCTCTGTCAGCTCTCCCCTCCTGAGGCTTTGATCTGTGGGGAGATGGAGTCATTGGAGGCAGCTCTGGGGTTTCTTTTCCTTTCCAAACATCTTGAAACCACCTCAAAGGAAACGTAATGCCAGATATCTGTTGCCAGGCTGTTCTCTTTCAAGTAGGACAAATGAGTGGACAACGTTTTATTCTATGCACTATTGGAGACATGGACAGGATCATTCGGCCCTTTATGGCGAAGTGATGCCTTATGAGCTCATGAGCAGCACATTGTGCAAATATTTATGCAGACAGGTCAAATAAGAAATATGAAGCATGTGTCACTTGGACTGCAGTTTGTCACATAAGAATAAATGTTTTTGCAAGTTCTTCATCTGGTTATTAATCCAGTTATTTCATCTCTCTCCCCCGTCTCCCCACCCTCAGACGGTGTCAGACCTTGCCAACGTGTCCTGCAAGTGCCACGGGGTATCAGGCTCCTGCAGCCTGAAGACCTGCTGGCTGCAGCTGGCTGACTTCCGCAAGGTGGGCGATGCGCTGAAGGAAAAGTATGACAGCGCTGCTTCCATGAAGCTCAACTCGCGTGGAAAGCTGGTACAGATGCACAGCAAGTTCAACGCTCCCACGAGCCACGACCTGGTGTACATCGAGCCCAGTCCAGACTACTGCCTGAAGAACACAAGCACGGGCTCCCTGGGCACTGTGGGGCGCCTTTGCAACAAGACGTCGGAGGGCATGGATGGGTGTGAGCTGATGTGCTGCGGCCGCGGTTATGACCAGTACAAGGCCCAGATAGTGGAGCGCTGCCACTGCAAGTTCCACTGGTGCTGCTACGTCAAGTGCAAGCGCTGCACCAAAATCGTAGACCAATTCGTCTGCAAGTGAGAAGCGGAGTGTTGCCTATGTGTGTTTGCTTGCAGATGATGGGCATACATCTGTGTGTATTCGTGAGCAGAGGAGCAAAGGAGCTGAACACAGAGAGAGAATGGAAGAAAGAAACTATATAAATTATATTTATAGAGTTAAACAATTATGCCATTGCAAAAAGACTGACTTTTTTTTTTTTTCAAAAAAAAAAAAAATCTTATGTCTTCAGAAACTGAGAGTATCGTGAAATATTTATTTTAAGATTGTTGTGTTTTATTTTGGCCCAGTCATCACCAGCCAATTTTAACCCATTCAAGTGCCTAAAACGGGCTGGAAATCTTCCCCCCACCCAACCCCCGTCCTTTTTTATTATCAGAAAATGTCATGTTTCTTGTCAGATGGGTCACACTGATCGAGAAATTGGACTGCGCTTCCAATTTCCTAAGATGAGTAGTGTTTTGTATTTTGTGGCATAGTTGAATAAGAGGTCCTAGTTTGTTGTTTGAGAGTGATTGTGTCGAGAAGAGAACGCCTGTGTGCCATAGTCGTGTATGGATGTGTTTTCATGGGCCCAGTCCCAAACCAGCCTTCACATCCTAACCGGAGTCTACTTGTCCCCTCTCACCACACGTAGAGTAAGGAACACTGTCGGTTCATGCAAGTCCTTGGAATACAATGGGTACAAAAAGAGGGCTGTTTTGGGGATTGGGCCATTTATTAAGCTGTCCCAGAAGCCTTAGAGTTCCCCAGGTGCTGCAACAAGCCCTCCACCATTATGCACTTTGATACAGAGGCTTAAACCTGTCTGTGCGTGTCTGTTCAGCTGTTTTTTTTACTACAGTGCATCAGCAAATATATCAATATTATAGCCTACATTCTTTTCCATATTAATTCAGATTATCCATTTAACATTATTCTACAATACTTAATATGGTTTGAATATATATGGGCAATGTTGTGGTTACAGTGGTGAAATATTCCATGTTCTGTGTATATAGTATGTCTATCCAACCAATCAGTAAACTGTATTTATTTCCTTTAACCAGATCCTCCTCTAAGCTTTAAACAGAAAGGCATCTCCAATATAGATCAACATAGTCATCCTCAAGCATCCTCAAGCTTTGAAGTCACCTTTTAAAAATTTACTTTCTCACTAATGCGGCTCTTCACTGTTTTTTGTTTTTTTTTTGTAAAGGGAAATGCACCTTATTGTTTCGACACAAATTGTTCCTTCTCACTCATGTTCAGCTTTACTGTTAGACACATATATACGTCACAGATGTTCAGATTTTTATCGTCACCACAGATTTCCAGTACCACTCAGTTAAACCGCTCACTATCCCTGTGATGATTCTCAATAGACAGACTATTTCCTACCAATCCAAACATGTATATTTATAAGCTTCTCCATGAATTTGAGGTTTGTTAATGTGTTATAGCTGATATTTTGTTACTTTTTACAAATTGGCTCAATGCTCTACTTTGTTTCAATAAATATCAAATGTAAAACCAGCAGAGGAGTATACTCTTAGCGTTTGTCCAAGTCTTGTTTGTCTGTGCCAAGTTTTTTTTTTTTTTTCAAATCCCTTGACATAAACCATTTCCTTTCTACATTTATATTACCAAATAACATTCTCTACTTGAAGGACCAGTGTGTAGGATTTAGGGGGATATATTGGCATAAATGGAATATAAAATTACAAGTATATTTTCTTTAGTGTATAATAATCTGAAAATAAGAATAATTGTGTTTTTGTTATCTTAGAATGAGCCCTTTATATTACATCAAGAGTGGGTTCTTGTGATGTTTCTACAATGCCCCAGAGCAGTGACGGACTTAGGATGTTTGAAGGGCGGGGGCAAAAAGGAAAAAAGGGCACCTACTGCATGACATGGGGACAAGAGGGCAGCCAAAAGGGCACATCCGCACGTTTTCATCATTCAAGAGGGCAGCTGATAGGGCACATCCTCTCATTTTCGCCACTCAAGAGGGCACTTTTGCACAGCATTTTCGACTGAGGTGGTTGAAAACTGACTAAAAAACACTGACTTCATAACGGACCTGACACATTTTTGTGTTTTTGCGTTGGCCACCACGGTTTGAAGCCTGCAACAAGCAGCGTCGGAAAAACACTAATTTGTACTGTGAAACTCTATTTAGTGTTTTTCTTAGTTTGAATCACCAGATCTATTTGTTTTGGAGAGGACGAGACCTCTGCCAATAATTCCACTCCCTGTGAAAACCTCCTGAATTTCTGGATCTGGAGTTTTAAAGAAAAAGGTGAGCACACATTAGAACGTGGCGGGCGAGCCGGCATGTCAAACAGCATTGCCGATCGATTGATTTATAACCTGAAACTGCTTTGTTCAGTGTTTTCACGGGTTTTAATCACCTGGTCCATTTGTTGTTGTGAGGAAGAGACCTCTGCAGATAATTCAGCTCCCGGTAATAACCTCTTGGACAATGAACACTGAAGGAATTCTAACCAGGAGAAGTTTCAGCTGGTTGCACTCTACAATTGTCTAGATGGCACTAAATCCTCCTAAATCTTACACACTGCTCCTTTAAAGGTCTCGTGTGGAGGAGTTAGTGGCATCCAGCAGTGGGGTTGCAGAACTGGGACTTCTCCGAGGACCCACTCTGTGTGTAAACATAAAACATTTTAAAGTAACAAAAACACAGCAGTTTTTATTTTGAGCTGATTATAAACTACTGAAACATAGTTATGTTAATAAATGCCCCTACACATGTAAAATGTGTGCCCCTTTTAATAGAGATTTGACCTCTGATTTCATTTAACATGATCTAACTTTTCCTTCTCTTTTGGATCTAACAGCATTTCAGGGGTTTTTCTGAACCAGTTACATTCCCTCATTCAGTCTCCTCACCCATGGGCAGATTTAGTGACAGACAGTCAAACCCACATCGGATGACAGCTGTTTCAGGCGTGTAGCGAACAAAGACGAAGCGAGTTTTCTTGAGAGCTTTGGAAGATGGCCTGAAGATTGGGTGTCTCCCAGGGGGATGGTTGAGGTTGTATTATAAGCGGCCCTCAGCAATCCAATGACAGTGGATCAGTTAATGGAATGATTAATCATATTGTGTCAAGAGGATAGGAAGAAGGGGGATTTTCAATGTGGCGGGAAACGGGGCTGTCTGGAAGACGACTGGGCCTTGTCAGGGACTGCTGGAGCTCAAGAGGAGACACAGAGAACAGGAGAGAAGATTGGGTAATGAGAAACGGGGGATTAGATGAGGGCTGGATGAGAAGGGAGTAATAAGGAGAGGGGTTGTGAGAGAGGAGAGGCCCGAGGGAGAGGAGCAGAGCGAGAAAGTGCTTTAAGGAAAGTAGAGCTGAAGGACTGCCATTACAGTGTAAACGGTCCTGACATTGACTAATATTTACATTGGGAAAATGATACTGACTTTAGGAGCACATCCCATATGTGACCCTGTCAACTGGCCCCCATGTGTGTGTGTGCCTGCGCACTCGCACGTGCACCCACTCGCACAAAACGTGTTACATCATGACAAGTGTTTACATTTCTGATTGGTGTCACGTAGGCCAATAAGAAAAAGCAGGAGAGAAAGATACAAGGTTAGCAAGTAGGGAGAATGGCTCAAAGGAGACCAGCAAAGGGTTTTTACATATTTGAACTCTCTGTCAACAGCAGGGTTTATAAGGATATGAAATCCCCCTTCAACTTTGTTATGCACATGTAGGTGAGGAACTACTTGCACGTGCTGGACGAGGCTCCTCGTCTGAGTGAGTGACTGACTTCATACCAGCAGGACTCCTGCAGCAATAGCATGAACAGAAATCCAGGTGCACAGCAGGCTGATTCACCAGGCAGCCAGAGGAAATCTGAAACCCACAGGTGCACACAGGTATGATACACTCTGTCGGAGGGAAAGGCACGGATACTTCCAAATGTTCAAACAAAATGCTTGGACGTCTGATCTTGGCAGGCCTTTCTCCACCTGCCCCCTTTCACCGCTCCCACCTACAGTTTGACACATAATGCGGGCAACTGTGTAAATATTTATACGCCTGCTCTGCAGAGAACAACACCATCTTTTTTGGGCTGTGGTCACAGGGTGATAAGGTTGTGATTTGGGTTTTGCACACACAATTAAGCAGTCACCGCAAGGGCACTTTGTAGCTTCACAAGTGCACACACACACTGAGGGGAAGGAGGTGCTCAGTAGGTATTTTAAGCTGGTGTACACCTTTGTCTTTGTCATTTGCTCTTCACAGTTTATCTGAGAAAACAGCAGCCTGTCTAAATGAGCCTTCTCCACATTGCTCTCATATTTTCTCCCTTTTTTAATCTCTTCTCGCTTTGGAAAATAAACAGAAACAAATGTTTAGAGAAATGTTTTTCCCAAGGCTAACATTAATGGTTTCATATTTTGAAAAAAACACTGAAATATGCAAATCACTCAAGTGTTTATTGTGTGTTAAATACTTGGTTGCATCTGTATGCGTGCGTGTGTGTTTTTGCATTCGTGCAAAGGTGCTAATTATGATGATGAATAGACCAGGCCGGATAAAGATTGAGGTTCACCGGGCTTATCGAGTGGTTTTACTCTATTCTTCTCCCACTGCATTAAAATTCCTCTGAGGTTCTTCAGGACGATTACGTGACAAGTTGTGTTTTCCTAAAACAAAGCAGCTGGTTGATATAAGGCAACCTCCCTCTGCCAAAGCCAGATCTACTGACCACAGCTTTGTAGATTCATAAATATTTTGTTGATTCTGTTCCTGCAGTGGAAAAAGGCTGAACTAATGTTCTACTGTAACTGTAATATACCAGGCTTCACATATTGATGTAATACATTTACACCACATTTTACCATCTGTGAAACAAAACCTCAGCTTGAACTCTGGCCTTTTTTTTTTCATTACCACGCTACATCATGGCCGGGTGAATTCTGGTGCAAATGTAGTCCTATTCCTGTTAATATCATCACATCAAGCCATGGCTCTACCTTGAGTGCTGTAAAACTGTCACTGCAGAAAACATCCACAATTGCACAAAAACACAAACTCTATTGATCAGCACTGTTTAGTTTTGTGCTCTAAAGCCTCAGAGAACAGAACACATTAGCTGTCAGGGCAACAGCTCTGGCAAAGCTCATCCCTCCAAGCCAAAGTGGAGCTTGTTCCATTCCCCAACTCTTACTGTAAAATGCTCATAAAGCGACAACAGGGCCAAAATAAGAGCGCTCCACAGAGCTGCATTTAGAGCTATTTGGGATTGTGGTCGTGTGTTTTAGAGAAAGAGGGCAGGACACCACACCGTGACGTCGCAAACAGTCTGGACTGGATCAGAGAGACGGGTCGGTGCCACAGAGTTACCGGTTCCCCCTTCTCTCACTGCCAATTCTATCCCAGTGTCCCCCCAGAAACCACTCGCACCACAAGTTGTTTCAATGGGGCACAACTCCGGCTGAAAATAGAAAGGTTATACATATAGGTCACAATTTCTCAATGTGCATGACTGAGGCTTTTGTGTGTGTATATATGAGTGTGTGTGTGTGTGTGTGTTAGAGAGAAAAAAAGACACTGAGAGAAGAATGACTGCTAAGAGAAATTAGCATCACTTCAGTTACTGCTCTCATCCTAATGTTATTCTAGTGGTGAATTTTTATACAGCGTTGTCACCATGGTTACCCAGTTATAAATGAGCCACACCTCTTAAAGTCGTGATTATTAGAGGTTTAAGTACTTCATAAAGTTGCAAAGTAATTGCCACAGGAAGTGTAAACATAGCAGAATAACTGTTGGTGTTTGTGTGTGTGTGTGTGCAGCACTGAATAGCATAGCGCGCTGCGGCTCATCTCGTTTTATTGCCCACAGATGTGGACACATTCACCTTCATAGGACAGCAAAGGATTACAATCTATTACCCTGTTTTAAATGTCATACATAATGAGCGTGACGTTTTCCCTCGTTTTAATCGATTCCCGCTTTAATCGATTTTACAGAACTTTGACAAAAATAGGTAAACATTTACTGCGGGGTATTCCACTCCGACATTTGATCTGCTGTTCCTATACACGCTGATGCTCTGTGTTTCTGTCATCTCGCTGCTCGGCTCTCACACAGTTCCATTCTTAAGTTAGCAAAAGGTTACATTACATACACTCTCTTACTGTCATCACATCTTTGCGTTATGGCTTCCTCTCAGAGTGCATGCAATATATTACACAATGAGACATGTTTACAAGACCAGAACAGACTCACTTGCTTGTGGTTTGACATGGGATCTTCTCTTTCTTTTCTCTTCTCTGGTGGTGGTGTGTGTGTGTGTGTGTGTGTGTGTGTGTGTGTGTGTGTGTGTGTGTGTGTGTGTGTGTGGCTCTGCCCCACAGGGAGCTGAGTGCCAGGTCAGAGCCAGTAGCTGAGTGATTCTGTCAGCTTGCTAAGCCTTCGTGGATTACACTAAAGTGAGCCCCTGGGGTTGCTCCGACATCAGCGCAGCTCTGCCCAGTTATGGTTAAAGTATCATACGGCAGTTATTGAG